TATTTTTTTTTTTTTTCATTTTAGTTCTTTAAAATATTTAAAATAATATTTAATTGTATTTTTTATTTGTGATTTTTTTTTCACAGCCATAAGTGCTAAATTTGTACAGATTGTGTACAATATGAATTTGTATTTTAGTTTTTAGTTTTTATTTTACTTTATTTTTTTATTTTGTTTTGTTCTGTTTTCTAATTTATTTTATTTTATTCTTTGTGAATTCCAGAACTGCTTAAAAACATCCTATGTATGATTATGAATAAGTATTCCAATGTGGAAAAGTATTTTATTTTAGTTCTATAAAATATTTAAAATGTTATTTAAAAAAAAAATGTATTCACATTTTATTACATTTTTGATCACTAAATAATTCCAAATGTGTTATTTCATAGTTTTGATCATTTACTATTATTTTAAATATCATCATCAACAACAACAACAACAAAAGTAATAATAAAGAAAGAGTACATCCATCCAAACATTTAACTGGTTGTGTATGCCTGTATAAATCTTTACAAAACATAATATACCACCTCATTAAATAACCTTAAAGACAACAGTGTTTTCTGATTGACACCACGGCTGATCTTACACTGATCCTCGATTCCAGCACAGTACACTAAATAGAGTTTAATGAACAGGCTTGTGAAGGCATCACACTTAAATCAGTGGAGTGCTGTTCTGGGATTTTGTGTTCCTCCTGCTGCATTGATGGAGCAGCTGCGGCTCGAGTTCCCATAGTTCCATTAATCCCCCCGCAGTACTTGAGGAGCACATACGAGGGAGGGACACAAACACACGGGATGCAGAGAGGAGTGGCTGGGCTGTATTGTCCCGGTGCAGTTTATCATTTGTAAGTTCCTCTGCGAGATATTAATGCAAGTTAACCAAAGAAATGCATAGCAGCTTTTTCAGCAGGCATTTCAAAGCAGCATGCATTTTGCAAGCATTTCACATGCATCTGGCAGATGGGTACATCACTAACAAGAGAATCTGCCTTCCATAAGACAATGACAATACAAACACCCTTAAAATATATGACCAAGCCCTTTATTTCAAATAAATAAATAAATACAATTTTATTATATTATTTTATATATTGTATTTATAAAATATTATTTGTAATTAATATTGTATGTATACAGTATATAGCTTTTTAATATTAAATTGTTTTATTACTTTTTAAATTAAAAATGATTTGCTCGAATGTTCTGTGGGACAGAAGGTGTTTGAAGATGGCCTTAGTTAGACTCCGCTGCAGACTCTCTTGTCTCGGCCTTCCACTAACCCTTTCATGACAGCGCAGGAGAAGTGAGACAGCTGGCCGTTTCTTTACCTCCACCGGCAGCAAAGGAAAGCCGCTGCACAAAAGAGGGCTCATGAATGGCCTCTCACTGGGGAAGCCTTGCTAAACTTCTTTATTTGGGCCTTCTATTTAAGCACGACACTTTTTGTTTGTTTCTCATAGCAGCAGAAGCAGGCTTTTGGGATGTATAATCGAGAGGAGAAGAGCACATGACCTTACACACTACATCTGACAGCAAAGAGAGAAAAATGCAAACGAGCTACAAAATAGCAGTCTGGCATTTACAAACAGAAAAAAAGAACATTAGCTGTGTTTTGTGTTGCTGACATATTGACTTGTGCGATAATTATGCACCATAATTAATGCAACAAAGCATTATTTTCTTTGATGATTCAGCATCATGTCAAGAATGGAAATGTGTGTCATCTAGATTCTTTGTTTTTTTTTTGCTGAATTCGTTAATATTTGATTTCCTACTTCCGTAGAGATGTTTTCTCTCAAATATATAGGCTATTTAAACTGTTCAAAAATCCTTCATCCTTTTAAACTGTGCTAGGATTATTAGAATTTTTATTTTTCTAATACGAAATTAGTTCTAGTAAGGTTTCTGTGATTGCTGCCACAATAATGATAATAATAATTCAGTACTTTAGAGCAGTGCCAAGAAACAAAATACATTGTCAGATAAATATATGCATTTTCATTGTTATATTGCAGTAATTGCATTTTAAGTATTTATTTGTATTTAGAACAAATATTTACTTATTTACTATATATATATGTTTATATATATATATATATATATATATATATACACTGTATGTATATATAAAGAGTTTAAAGGCGATAAATACTGATTTTAAGGTTAGCAATGATCCTTTGAAATTTTGCTAAGATTATTAGGAATGTTTTTCACATACAAAATTAGTTCTAGTGAAGTTTCTGTGATGGTAATTTTTAAAACCGGAGGGGAAAAAATACAGCAGCATATATTATTTGTATTTAAATACAAAGATAGAAACATGAATCTCCTGCATAAAACAAAAACTTCCAAACTTTTGGGTAGTGCTAAGAAACAAAATGCACATATTATGTCAGTTACATGTATGTATTTTCATTGTCATGATGCATTAATTGCATTGGTAACACAAATAAATGTATTACAAATATATGTTTTTTTTTTAATCCTTCATTTATTCGACTAATGATACATTCATCCAGAATTGTGCATTAAACAACAAACAACCACAGTATATAGAAAAACTGTGCCAGCTAGTAAAATAAAGCTTAAGTTAACGAAAGCACCAGCTGTAGAGAGTTTTCAGACTAACTTAAGTGCAAGAAGCTTGTAGAAGATCATACAAATGAAACTTTCATGATCAAATATTATGTTTTGAGCTTTTACTCTAGATGACATATGTCTGATTGACAAAGGTTGCCCTCTTCTGGTGAAATCAAGAATTTGTTTCTTTAAAACTTCACCATTTAAGACATATGCCTCAATTTATTCAACATACCCAATTCAGATAACTGGGTTGAGTTAACTACAGATATTAACGGTCCCAAATATAAAGAAATAATTTACTTTTAAAATAAAACCGTAAAAAAAAAACGTATCGAATTTTAACACCTACATTTTTCATTTTCTTATTCAGCCAAAGGAGTATAAAAAAAGTGGACAAAAACATGTTAAGTGAAGTTGTAAGTTTATGAAATATTCAAAAGTACCGAAATGTCATTATATGTATGAAAATATGTTTCCATGATTATCAGTGACAGTAATTTAGTCTGTAATAAGTGGTGTCGAGGTAGAATACGACATTCAGGACATTTCCAAACAGGTCAAGTCTCTGAATTTAAGTGGTATGGAGGAAAAAAATGAAATGCATGGGAACTGCCTCACTCAAATGTACCTTGAAACTGCAAACAGCATTATATAAAAAATAATGTTGTAAACATAAAAAATCTAGGTCCATGTAATTCACATTCACAAAGTTTTAATTGAAGAAACTGCTGTTCAGAGCTTGTTTAGTCCATCCTAGAGTTTCTGAATTACAACTTGGAATTTGCCTATAAAAAGGGAAAGAAAACAGCTGCAGTCTCAAACACGGAGTCAAATCACACTTTAACTATGTATATGTTTGCCATTAATGCCCCAAATATTTTGAACATAAATTAAAGAGTATTTTATTTATTGAAAAATTGATTATGTATCAGTTAGTTAAGTTGAGTTAAATGGCATAAACTTACATGATGGCATTAAAGAAACCTCTGCAGTGACAACGCTCTCCAAGCCCAGATTAGATAGAGCTCCTCGAATCAACCCACAGGAAAAGGCCAAGTACTGCAGAGATCAAACATATTCAGATAAACAATATTTCATTCATCATGGTATAAAAACAATATAGGTCAAATAAAATCTCAGAATATGATATAATACAAATGAACTTAAATATCACTCTTACTTTAGGTGCCTCTTCAAGGTATTGCTTTCCACTGGAAAACTGAGTTAGTAGTGCAAATTTATTATCCTGTAAGACATACGTGCCCTAGAGCAAAGCCAGAGAGAAGAACTGACAATAACACTGAATTCTGCAAATGCGTTGCCACATATTAAATACATAACTGAACTTTCAGACCTGATGGTTGGTCCTCAAGTTGTCGATTTGCTTTTTGAAGATAGTGCTCCAGAGGTCTTTACACAGGAACTTCATTATGTCCAAGTCATCTTTGAAAGTGGGGCAGTCTTTTGTAAACCTTCTCAAAAGCATATGCAAAATCGGGCCATCATTAGGTTTATAAACTCTGGATACTTAAAAAAAAAAAAAAAAACATTTTTAATTTAGTAAATCTGTGAATAAATATGAATACCTTTCAATCAGTCCTTGTCCAACTCGGAAGCCCATCAACTCTAGAGTAGAGACACACGTCACTCTCTCCTTAAGAATGCGCATCAGAGCATAACGTAAATGGAAAAGAAAAAAAAAGCTACATTAAAACATAATTAAAGCATGGAAAAAAGAAATATATATATATATGCAATCTGGACAATTGTAGATGGTACCTTGTCAATGTCCTCCCGAGTTGCCTGTTCCTTGTACACGTGAGCAACAATCTCCATGTGGAGGAATTCAAACAGAGCGTTATCTGCCATATCTGAAAGAGAATATCCATTCAAAGTTCCTCAAACATCTGGAAAATGGCCATTTTAACCCATTTAGGCCTGCAGGCTAATTAAAGTGGCTCTTCCTCTCTCTTTTTTTTTCACTAGTGAATATTTTTAAGTGACTACGGGTGTTTTAAAAACAGCTGGCATATAAATATGCAACCTGGGAAAGAGATTTTGACAACTTGTTGTATAATGTGTCACGTGGTGATGTTTCATTCAACTGTCTAATACAAGGGTTTTCAAGCTGCGGTCTGTTTAAATAAATCAATTTCAATAAATAAATACATGCATACATACTAGTACTAACAGTACTAGTGAGCAGGAAAAAAAACAGAAATGAAATGGTTGCCAAATAATGTTTACACATATTTATAATATTAATTTATCACAGTATGATACTCTTTATGAATTAAAATATAAATCTTCCTTTTAATTTTTAAGATGGGATTACCATGAGGACCGTGGAATCTAAAACATCGAAACCCCTCGCCTAATATACAATATATAACATAAATCTCTCTGTCCTAAGTATTCTTGCGTATTAGCTCTCTTTGAACTTTTTTTAGTTTTGTATAAATATACACGAGAACTTTACAGAAGCTGTGTTATATTGTGTCTTCAGTATGTTGTTGACGTGCATTAACTTTGTCAAAACCGACGCCTGCAAGCTTGCTGCTAAAAGTCTTTTCCAATCTGAGCTTTATAGTTAAAATATTTACGTGATTCGTAAGACTACAAACCCTGAATATGCATATAAATGTACATCTGTGTGATTAAAGTGAAGACAGCCGCTCAGCTAATGTTAGCGCACCTCCAGCGATAGAGCTAACTTGCTGTCTGTTGATGTTAAATATGATATTGCATTAGCATAAACACACATATAAATCACTTACTCCTTGCACGTATCTTCAGGCATGCAATAAAAATACATTTATAAAGAACCAGACACACAAAATCCGCCTTCAGTTTAGTGTTGCGCCGATACTCACAACCAATACTGCCACCTGCTGCTATGGAGTTTAACGACTTCAGATTTCTTCTCTGACCCAAACGACTATAAAGTTCATTAAGTTTATTGTGATATATCACAATATTACCGTGTTACTGTATTAATTTATTTTTTAATCAAATGAGCATCAAGTGAGCATAGGAGGCTTATTTTTAAATAATGAAAACATCTAACTGACCCCATATAGTTCGGATATTGTGACTATTTCAAAGCCATGTAAAAATAAGTTTGCAGTATTTAAGTATGATATTACATGTTAAATTTACTTTTTTTTTCTTTCTTATACTTGAGTATGTTTTTGGCACTTTATGACTTTTTAGTAACATTTTGACAATACCCATAGTTTAACATAAATGTAATTTATTTCTTAATACAGTGTAATTTCTGTATGTACTAGTAAGATCGCTGGACTTAGTGGCGTTACATCCCAACCCTGATTGATTTAGCATGTCAAAAATACTATGACACATATCAGTGAAATATTACTTTATAATAAGAGGCAAGCAGTTATTGAAATTAACAGACTTATAAGTTCATACTTAACCACATGAGTTCAGATTAGATGATGAAATTCATGATAACACACCTTCTTTTGTTAAAATCAGCCTTAAAAGTGTGTCCCAAACCTAATTGGAAGAAACTGATATTTTACACAACTTTAAGCTTACCAATAACCCACTTTTTTCTCAGATAATGCAAGATGATTACAGACATAAAGCTACCTTGGTCCGAACTGCAATTTTGAAACAGTCACTGTTAAGTTACTTACCATCTAAGATTCACATCGAGTGTTAGTTGGCAAACAAACCAAAGTAAATAAATAATGAGTCTATTGTTCTATTTCTCAAAAGTGTTACTGATTAAAACATCAGAGCACTGAATACTTTCCTATGAAACTGAAAAACGCATATGTTGATGTTTCAGATCAGACCACCACCTGAAACATCTACAGAACAAAAGACTTTTGTTGTTCCTACTGAATGTGTAACGTCCCAAACAAGCAGCACTCAATCGTGCTTACACAATCCATTCAGCACAATAGTGTTCTTGGTTGAGGACGAAATCTCTAAAGGTGGTGGGCTAGAGGTGTTTGCTTTGCACCCTTCCAGGGTTTGAGGAGTCTCAGTGTCACTGTGTGTTGACCTCTTGTGGACTTCCAAGAGGGAGACCTTCCAAGGAGCAGCTGCTGGTTCGCTTTTGGGCATGAGGAACGTGGGATATGGCTCAAAAGTCTGCGTTTGAGCTTCATGCACATTTGGACTGACTGAAGAGTCCGTGTCTGGCGTCTCAAGCTTGGATTGATGGTTCCTGGTGAAATTGGAGAGCTGCTCCAGGACCTGGATCTGGCGATCCATCATTCCCAGCATGCTGCAGTGGAAGGCTCTCTGCTCAGCCAGCTGTTCTCCAAGCCGGTGGTTCAGGATGGTTAGCTGCTGGAGGATCAGGCTGCTAGTCTCTTCAGAAGTTCCTGCTGGGATAAAACAAGAAGAACTGTGACTCGTGAGGTGCTTTTGGTTGTTGTACCAGAGAGAACTGAACCAGTATTGGTGCTTTTCCACTGCATGGTACGGCTCACTTTTTGGGGGTTTTCCACTGGGTACAGTACCTGGTACTTTTTTTAGTACCACCTCGGTTGGGGTTCCAAGTGAACCGTACCATTACCAAAACGTGACGTGTAAACTCTGCTGATCACGGATTGGCCGGAGAGAATCGTCACTACGCGTCACTGAACTTGCGACACAAACACAAAAGAACCGCTAGATTTAAATCAGCACAGCCAGCGAAGGATCGAACGCAACTGTTTGGAACAAGCGCACCTTTTTATAACAACCAAAAAGTTTTGTTGTCTGTTGAGGAAGAACAGACGTTCCTCTGTTGATAGCAGAGGAGCGGATCCAGCGAGAGCTTGATGGGGCGACGCGGAATGAAAAAGCTTTTTTTAGGAGTCGTGGTAGTAGAGTACTATAACGACATGTGAATAATCCCGCCCACTCTAAAGCGGTACTGAACTGCAGTGGAAACGCAAACCGTGCTGAGCCGAACCGTGCCGTACTGAGCCGTGCCGAGCTGAGTCGTACCACGCAGTGGAAAAGCACCATATGTCACCTGGGAAATCATTGTAGCTGCAGTCAACAGCATCTCTTGTACTTTCTGTGCTGTTGGGAGTGCATAGGGATGGTGGCTCGGTCTTCACTGCATAGAGGTATTCTCCTGACAAGCCCAGGGTCATAACTTCATCTGGTCCTACAGCCCAGCTTGGAGGCTCAGAACCAGCCACGTCATCTGGATTCAGACTGTCGTCAACATCAGGTTCAAGTTTAGAAGACATGCTCTCGGGCTCAGATTTAGGGATTATGCCTTCAGGCCAAGGACCTGGAAGAGGAGATCAACAGGACAAAACCTCGTGAAAATTCCGTCATCACTTTCTCACCCTCATGTGGTTCCAAACTTGTGTGACTTTCCTTAGTGAAGATATTTGGGAATGTTGAGAACTTTTTAGAACTTTGACTTCCACTGTATGGACAAAAAAAAAAAAAAAAAAACATTCTCAGACATTTCTCAAAGTATCTTCTTTTAAGTTCCACACAGGAAAGAAAAAGTCATGACGACGGTGAGTAAATGACGACAGAATTTGAGTGTGTAAAAGGGAAGTCTAACTAATACACTGAAAACAAGCCAATAATACAGAGTTGCTGATAACGTTAATATATTGTATAAGCCAGTGATTCTCAACTGGTGGGCCACAGATATTATGGAAAGAAATTAATGACTGCAAAATGAGATTAATTCAATAAGGCTAATCAGTTTATAATAATCAGGAGAAAATGATTCCCATATCTTTTTTTGGTTGACGTCAAAGGCTGCATGTCAAGTCTAGCCAAATTAGATTCTGTGAAATTCCACCATCCATGAAAACCTTGAGCAAAACTGTATAACTATATACAGTTTTACACTTACAGAAAATACATGACTGGGTTTCCACCATGTCTAATGTTAAATTAGCTAAACTAATTGAGGATGAATGATGCTATAAGACATGCATATCTCGAGGGGAAAAAAGGCATAGTTCACCCAAAAATGAAAATTCTTGCATAATTTATTCAGCCAATCAGTTGAAAACCCATTTGACTTTTTTCTTCTGTGTTCGCTAAAATGAGGTTTTACAAGCTCATTCGCCTACAAAGACACACTATATTAAAATACAAGTGAATTTTGTGAACACTTCAGAAGATTTGGGATATAGTGCACTATATGGACCACTTTTCTGATGTTTTCATTGAGCCTGACAACATCTGTCCTCACAATCATTGAATGGAGCAACGTCAACATTCAGCTTCCCTTTCTAACCTTTCATTTTGTGCTCCACAGAAGAAAGTCAGTCATACAGGTTTGGAATGAGGGTGAGTATGGCTATTTGAATTTTAAGATCAACTACTCCTTTAATACAGTCCATACAGACAAATAAGTCATGCAAAAAGCCAATGGGAAGCAGTACTGTCTGCATGGTCATCCAGGTCCACGAGTGACCGTCCTAGCAGGGCGTGAGCATCTGTGAGGTCGTCCTCCCTGCCTCCCGCCTTCGGTCTGCGCACCAACATGTGATCCAGCATATGGAAGTAGCGGAAAGACTCGATGGCAGAGAGGCGAGCGGCTGGACTTCGGTAGCTGGCCAGTTTGATCTTACGGTACTTGTGTTTGAGACTCTTCCAACGGTTTCGGATTTGGGTGACAGTGAAGTGGATTCCCCGCTTTGCCAGACTCAGCCTGAGGCGTCGGAAGAGGGATTCGTTGCGCTGACGCTTCTTATCCAGCTCGTGGACCAGATCCAGCTGCTCTATTAGGGCCAGCATGGCAAACGTGTCCGGTTCTGTCCACCACTTGTTGGGCTTCTTCTCGTTGAGGTTCATGGTCTCCTCCCTGTTTGAGGCCCCTAAACATACAACCCACTTCAGAAAGAAGGTAGATTAAAGAAATCATTCAGATGATCTAACTCTTATTACTAATTTTAAAAGCATTAACTTAAGTCTTAGTTTACTTAACTTAAGTCTTAGTATTTTTAAAAATTTAAAACAAGTAAACATTATGATGTAAAATTATTTTTATGATGTACAATATTTCAGATTTGCGCTATTAGGGGCTGTTCACACCAAACACATTTCTGCATTGCACTGCACTGCTTTCCCATAGTTTCTCTACATAAAGATTCGCAAGGTGGTCATGTTTGACTGCGTCACGTCTTTTGAACGCACACTTTTTTTAAAAACTGCTATGTGTCTCGCATTTTTAAACATAAAAACACATTCTGTGTGATTGGCCCTTTACTATGTCAAACTATTGACACTGATCATGTGAACTAAATATTAAAGTCGACATGAAACAGCAAATAAGAGCATTTTTTCTTTGCTATTGTGACTAATATCTGTGTGAAACTGCATCTCGAATAACAAGAAATATATATATATATATATCACATGAATCACAACATTACCAATGCTTATTTGAAGCAAAAATGTATTTGAAAATCAGACAAAAAAGACAAAGGTAAAAGACTGTACTTGATGGCTTTAGTGAGGGAAAGGATTACAATCCCATGAAGAATGACATAATCATCAAATAATAATGAAAACAATGGTGAAATATAAAACTATTCATTTAAAGTTGTTGATTATATACTATATATTTTAAGTTTATTGCAAAATATGCATATAGATACAAATATTTAAGTATTTTTAAAGTGTAGGGTGACTTAATCACGTGATTCTGATGTAATTTGTGGTGAGTCATGGAAGAGGCGGTTCCCTGCAATCTCTTTATGCACGATTTCTCAGCGGCAGCTCTCTAATTGGTGGAATTTTCTGCACAGCATCATGGGTAATTAAAAAAATTCAACTGTTAAAGGGGTCATATGATACTTTTTTAAAGATCATTATTTTGTGTATTTGGTGTAACAGAATATGCTGACATGCTTTAACG